ACCGCGCGAGGTGCTGGTGCTGCTCCAGCAGTGCCCCGAGCAATATTTTTATTGTAGTTCGCTGTGCCAGGCAAGTTTTACAACATTATTTCAGTTCTGATGATGCGTCATGATGAGCCATCTGATTCTTGCAGTTCGTAGAATATCCGTGGCGTTCGCTAACTTTTCTTGAGCGCCCGCATGCCCGAAGGCCGAAATCGGCGCGCGCATTCCGTCTGAGGTGCAAACGCCATCGGAACATCTTCAGCCCCCCCGCGCATGAGGGCACCCGAGGAGGGGGGTGCAGGGGGCAGAGGATGAGGGGAGGGACAGGAAGGATCAGGATTCACATCTCGCCATCTTTGCATTTTTTGCCATCCGATCGCAGAACTTGACGACTCGAAACGCCGCGGCCCTCCATCCGACACTTTTGTTGCCTTTTCGGCTCCAGCGCTTCAGTTGTCTAGATTTTCGGATCGAGCCCCCTCCGCGCTGGTCTTGCGAGCGGCGATGCATTCGCAATTCCTCGCCCTCCAGGCGCGCGCGCCGCACTGCGTGCCGGCGGCTTCAATCGGCGTCGCCATCGCCGCTTGCGCCCGCAAGAAGGGCGATGGCCCGGCCCAAGTGCGCCGCCATCGACCACGGGGGCTGAATCGGGTGCTCACTTCCTCGCGGCACCAGAGCAGCAACAGATGCAGCGACGACGGCAGAAAGGAAGCCGCCAAGGAATGCCAGGCGCAGTGGAACAAGCTCGTGAACCAAGAGGATAAGAAACGCTTCTTGAAACTGTGGGAGGAAAACGGACGCGGCAAGGCGGTGGATAATTTGAAGTTCGCCGCGCACTTCGAACAGTCTCGAGACCGCGCTCAAGAGGATGTCTCATCGAGCAAGGACAGGTGCCTTTTCCCAGCGCGGACTCTCAAGCTGAATGGCTGCGCAATCTCTGCTTTCGACGCGCGCAAGGAATCGACCAACTTCGCAGTCGACTTTTACGATGGGCGCGCGAAACATTTCCACGCCGAGGAGGCGCGCCCCCCCGCAACTCACGACACGAACGACGAGTTGACCAGGCATTTCTTCGTCGCGGATGGAAGGGCACGCAAAGACTTGGGCGCAGGAGCAATCCAAGGATATCTGGCGACGCCGATGCGAAGAGCGGCTTGCACCTCGCGAGCGCGCGCGGCGCAATGGGTGCGCCATCCGGACTGCCAGCCTCTCCGCCCGAGTCGAAAATGGAGATTGAGGGCGAGCGCCCGCTGATCTCCGATGTTAAGGGGGCGGCGAAGAATCTTGAGACCGAATGGGGGGGAAGACCATCGCCCCCGTCCCCCCACTCCGCCGCCCCCTGGGCCAGACGTGGCGGCAGGGAGCGGCGGGGGGGGGGGGGGGGCGGTGGCCGGGTGCTTGTTATTCCGTTCTGGGAATGAATTGTCTGGGCTGCGCGCGCCCCTCATGTCACTGCGCGAGTGCAAGAGCCATCTGACCTCAAAGGGCAAGGCTTCCAGGGATGACAATAAGAAGAGGCCGCGGTCGGATTACTCGCAGGAGATGGAGGGCAGCATCAGCGCCCTGGGTCACTTTGTGGACGAGTGCTACAGCAATATCGCCGCGGCAGAGCAGGCGCGCGCCACGGGTGCGAAGGAGCTGCCCGCTCTCCAGAGGCAGCTTGCCGACGCGAAGGAAATGCTCGAACGCCACCTGACAGGGTCGAAATCACGCAGGCGCTAGTATTCAGAGCTCCTCGAGCACGCGCGAGGCTCTGGCGCGCGCAGATAGGGGGGAAGGGGGGGAAGGGGGGAGAAGGGGCATGAAGGGGGAGGAACAACAGGAGGGCGATGATATATCAAGGAGGCGTTGTCCATATAATTTCGTGCCATTACATATCTTGGAGGCCCTCGCTGGCTTTACTGATGCAGCCGCATGCCTGAACGGCGAGTTCGCTGCCGCTGCGCTCTTGAAAAGAAACGCGCGCACGCGCGCGCGCTATCGCATTCTCGTTTGCCCTCCTGTGCAGGAGGGCCACCGATGTCGGCCCGTCGTCCGCGATGTCTTCCGCATTGGCTGCGCGGCTCGAGGTCGCCAGATTTTCCGAGGGCAGGGATGCCCGGCAAACGCAAGCGCTTTCATGATGCTGCGTCTCTTCCTCGCGAGAGGTTGCGGGCGAAGGCGGGCGCGCGAGTGGCGACCAACGCGCTCGCCCGCTCCCGGGCCCAGTCGCTCCCCGGCGACGCCCGCGCTGGAGGCCGCCGAGGAGTGGGCGACTCGACCAGCCGCCAAGGAGCGGACAATAATAACGTCAGCTAGCGGGCAAACGTCGGCGGCAATGCATCCAGGAGGCCGCGGGGGCGATTTCTTCGATGCAGTTCGCGGCCCAGGACGCGCTTCGCAGAGGTCCGTTGTTGGGGCGAGAGACGCAGCTGCGTGCCGAAGGAGCGGGTCGCTTACGCCGCGCGAGTATATTGCCCAACCGGCGCAATACGGCAAGTTGGAAGAATTGGAGGACACCGGCGGTCTTGATGAAGTTGGGAAGAGCCACGTGCAACGCTGCCCCTCGGCAACGCAAGCCCATTCGACGATTCCTGCAGGTCTGTGGGCCCGCGGCGCCCCGCGCCAGTGGGGCCGCGACCAGTCAGTAGAGACCTTGTGCTTAAATTTGCCAGCGCTGACCAAACCGATGGAGGCGCACGAGCTACGCGCGCCCGTCGCTGGGCTGATGAAGGCTTCCATGGACACGCGCGCGTGGCGCGACATTTTCAGAGCGGTTTCTTATAGTTTTCTGCCCACGGGTGCAGGCAAAATGCCCAGCAGGCCGTCGCGGCGGCAGAGCCTGGTTGAAGTCTGATTTTCGCGGGAGCAAGAAGGCAGGTGCTGATCTAGGCAACGGGCGTGCGCTGGCGCAGATGTGCGCATATTGGGAACGCTGGAAACAAGCGCCCGGGCTACTGCGATCCAACGCGAGGGCGGGGCGCTGCTGGAGGTGCCGCGCGACGCCGCGGCAGGCCTTTCATTCCTCGTCTCTTTCTCCCACGTCTCCCGCCCCCCCCCCCCCTCGCCCGCGCAGGTCTGCCGGCCGGGGCCCGCCGGCAGCGCGGCGCCGCGGCGGAGCAACGGGCGCGCGGAGACACAGCTGACCCAACACTTAATCGAACAGGGTGCTACTTTTTCGCCAATCATGTCAATCCCACGGGCAGGCCAGCCGGTCTGGAGAATCGATCGGTTACCCGCAGTTGATCTGGGCGCGGCCGCAGACTGGCCGGGGCAAATGTTCCTCAGATTAACAGTTGAAAACAAGATTGCGGGCGCCGCGTGCGACCGACAGTGCAAAGCGTCATGGGAACGCCTGAGTGTTTGGTGCGAGCGGGCGCCAGAAGCAGATCGAGCCCACGCTTTGACCGCGAAGACCACCAGACGCAACGACAGAAAACACTGCGCCTCTCAGGGCAAGCTGCCGTCATCCGACACATGGTGGCCCCCGGGGAAACGCTCGCCGACTAGCTGCGCGACCCGAGCGCCGTTGAGGAGGCAGCCATGAGACTCGATATGTTCCACTTGTCTCAGTGTTACCTTTCCTTGCGAAGTGGTAGCATGCAATTGGGAATTCTACATGGCCAGTCGCTCGAGTTCAGCTTGCAATGCGCCGCCCTGCGCGGCGTGCGCCCCAGAGCGCATCAAATGAGACCGAAGATCCACCAATTGCACGAGGTGGGCACAGACGCCTTTCGGGGGCATCGGCCGGGGGCGCCCTGGACTTGCAGAGACGAGGGCTTCGCGGGCACGGGCGCTCATTTCGCCGAGCGTCGCGGCAGCGTCGCATTGATGGCCAGATGTGTTCTCGCAGCCTTTCGCGCGGAACTCGTGGCGGGGTCGCTTCGGCTTTCTCAAGCAACAGAGGTCGTCTTCCCTCTTCCCTCCTGCGCAGGAGGGGCATGTCGATTTGCCTCGGGGCCGCCCTCCATCGCGCCGTCCGAGTTCCAATCGTGCTACTCATTTCTTCATCCGTTATTTGCCGCGGCCGTTTTTGGCCTGCAGGTTTTTCTTGCAAGCTGCCCACGGATTCGCTATTGTGCAGATGGCTGCCCGGGGCGCTTGATGCTCCGCGGGGCCCTTGCGCTTCGCGCAGCTGCAGGGCGCCTCTTGGCGGCATCGCTGCTGCCCGCGGCGCGCCCTGAATTGCTGCTCGAGCCCCATTGCGGAGCTGCGGGGCGTCGACGCGCCCGCGGCCAAGAGGGCGGTCGAGGAGCGCCCGGCGATCGCGGCGGAGGCGCGCGCGGCCCGGGGCGGCGGGGGGGGGCGGGGAGGCGAACCAGCGGCGACGGCTTCACTGGGCGAAGCCAAGCGCCCTCCGCGCGCCCAGGATCGGGAGCGCACTCCACTTCGCGCTCTTCGCGCCCGCTGAGGCAGACAATCGCGGCGCGGGGGGCGGCGTCTCCTGTCGAGGATGCGCCGCAAGGCAGGAGGGGGGGAGGGGGGGGGAATAATGGGGGAAGAAGGAAGCATCAAACTTTATATGCTTTAACTACAGATGCTAGATATGCTTTCAACTACAAGCTTTCTATGCTAGATGTGCAAGTGAAGCATCAAACTTTATATGCTCTAACTACAGATGGTAGATAATTAGAGCAGATGGGACCCTCGGGATGGGCTTCGGGATGCCCGGGGGCGGATGCATATCTGACCCCCCTCCCCCCCCTTAGGAATCCCCCCGGGGCCCCCCCCCGAATTCCCCCCGGGGCCCCTGGGACCCCCCCTGGGACCCCCCCCCCTTCCCCGGGACCCCCGACCCCGTCGGCGGGGGAGGAGTCAAAGGGAAAGGGCTTCCCTTCGACTTCAGCACGACGTTGCTACGGTTTTCTTTCGCTGACAGGCTTGGCGAGGAAGGTGTAGGGAAAGGGGGCGGCGGAGACGCAGGGGAACATGACGACGGATGCGGCGACTGAGCGCGCGTCGACGGGTTCCACACGCCGACAGGGTCGGCGGATTTTGGAGTATTTTTTGACTATTGTTTGATTTTCCTCCAAGAGTCCCGTGTAAAAAGGACATGCCCGATTTAATCGTAGCTGACGACGGCACAGCAACGCAAACACGCACTTTGTTGGGGTGCTTCGCGCGGCTGTCGGGGCGAGGTCGGCGCGCCCGGGGCTTCTCCCTGGCGGCGCGCGCCCGTGGCCGGGAGGGCGGGCCGGCGCCGATCCAAACCGAGATCTTCGCGGAGCTGAAGTCGAGCAACAGCGAAGCGTCTTGGATTGAGGTTTTCAGACGCCTTGTTCCTCCTCCTCCTCCTCTTCCTCTTCTTTTTGTTCCTCCTTTTTCCTCCTCCTCCTCCCCCCCCCCCCCCCCCTCCTCCTCCTCCTCCTCCTCCTCCTCCTCCTCCTCCTCCTCCTCCTCCTCCTCCTCCTCCTCCTCCTCCTCTCAGGAGGGGAAAAAACACACAGACACAATTAATCGGCGATCCCCAGAAAATATGGGAAAATATGGGAAGTGGGGGGGAAGACAAAAACCCAGAAAATATGAGAAAATATGGGGGATTATTTTATTTGTGTGTATTTATTTGTGTGTCCTGGGGCCCCTTCATCCTCCTCCTCTTCCCTCTCCCTTTATTCGTCCTCCTCCTCCTTCTCCTCCTCCTTCTCCTCCTCTTCCTCCGTCCTCCTCCCCGATATGCGACGTCTTGGTATTCCAGTGCGGGTATTCGTAAGCCCCGACCCTTGCCCCACGACAGATTTCTCATTCCGCCTCATTTTTGGACGGCCCCGCACCTAAAGGCCCACCAAAGAATGTTCTAAGAACTTTTTTGCGGTATTCGCGAAATGTTCTTGGAACATTTCTAGCTGAGGCTGTCCTGTTTCACCACATCGGGCCTGGGTTGTGAGAACACTGGCTCGTTCTTAGAACAGTCCCGGGTTCTGAGAACATGTCGCGGTAGGCCTGTAGGAATGCCGGGGCGGTCGGCACAGCTCAAGAAAGGGTGTTTCTGGCTAGTTTCTTTCACCACTTTCGTTTTGATCTCGTTCTGCGGCAGAGGCGGGACCAAGACAGAACGGGGGAAGCTCGAGAACAGATCGAAGGTGGAAGGCACGGCTCAGCTCGCGCCCTGGTTCATGCTTGTGCTGTTGTTCGGCTCGTCTACTGCCCGGGGCGTCCTCCGCCGGGGTCTCCTTGCGGTCGGCCTCGATGTGGCGGGCTCTCCAAGGTTGAGGGCGCTCCATGGCTGAGGGGGCCACCGACGGCATGCCATGAGCCAATATTTGATGGCGGATTTCGCTCACAGATTGGTCGATCCACTGCACGGCTCACGGTCTGATCGATCCGGTTCGACATCAATTCGCGCCGGCCCGATCCGAATGGAATCCGATACTTCCGCGATCCGATGCGTCCCGATGCTTGCACGGTGCCGTTGTGCGATGCTGACTGATCCTGCGCTGTCAGTCGGCGGCGAGCCCAGGGGGGAAATGAGAGGGGGCAGGTCTTCTCAGAAGGCCTCAGAAGAAGCCCCACCGCGTTCTGAGGAGCCTTGCAGGCCTTCTCTGAAGCCGCAGACGGTTTCTCAGAAGGCGCCAGGGCTTTCGAGAAGCCGTGCCGCCTTCTGCGAATGCCTGCCCCCCTAAAAGCAGACGTTGTGAGCAAATTGCGACACTGAAAAATTATCCCAGTGCGACCCTACCTAGGAGTTGGAGCCCCTAGGAAAGCAGCATTAGTAGTAACAGTAAAGCTAAGCTAATGCTAAGCGAAAGCTCAGCTAAAGCTAAGCTAAATCTAAGCTAAAGCTAAGCTAAAGCTAAGCTAAAGCTAAGCTAAAGCTAAGCTAAAGCTAAGCTAAAGCTGAGCTGAAGCTGAGCTGAAGCTAAGCTACAGCTAAGCTAAACATAAGCTGAATCGAAGCTAAAGCTAAGTTAAATATAAGCTAAAGCTAAGCTAAAACTAAGCTAAAGCTAAGCTAAAGCTAAGCTAAAGCTAAGCTAAAGCTAAGCTAAAGCTAAGCTAAAGCTAAGCTAAAGCTAAGCTAACGCTAAGCTAAAGCTAAAGCTAACGTTAAGCTAACGTTACGCTAAAGCTAAAGCTAAGCTAAAGCTAAGCTAAAGCTAAACTAGATGTAGGCTAAAGCTAACGCTAAAGTTAAAGTTAAAGCTAAAGCTCCCAGGGGACTGGGGGAACCGCGGGGCGGATGCCGGGGGAACCGCCCGGGGCGATTTGCACTGCCCCGCCCCTTAAACTTACAGGGTAAGAACCCTTCTAGGCAGAGCCTAGGTAGGGAATCATAGAAAAGGCCTAGATCCCATCTTTCTTGTTCATTTCTTGAGCCGGACTGATATGTGAGATGTGAGGGGGCCCTGGGGCAGGAGATTGTGCGAATCCGACCTGCGCGAAAACATTTTGAGACGCCAGGAGCTGAGGGCCCCCCTGGGCTCTCCGGCGGGAGGAGGAGGAGGAGGAGGAGGAGGAGGAGGAGGAGGAGGAGGAGGAGGAGGAGGAGGAGGAGGAGGGAGGAGGAGCAGAGGAGGAGGAGGAGAGGAGGAGGGTGGAGGAGGAGAGGAGGAGGAGGAGGAGGAGGAGGAGGAGAGCCCACGCAATCGCGGCGGGAGCCCGACGCAGGCGCGTGCACGCGACCCCTGGGCACCCAAGCGGGTGCCCGCCATTGTCCTCGCGAGCCAGGCCGGCGGCGATCTCTGCTCCTTGCCGCGGACCTGCATGGGTGGCAGGCCCCAGACATGCTCGCGCCGCGCCAGAAATCATCATGGGGTTGCCAGGTTTTCGAGTCTCGAGGTTCGAGTGTGCAGCAGGCTGTCGTTTTCGCCGGTCCTCGGCGGTCTTCCAGCCTCCGGATGCGTTCCAGCAGGTGCGCCTCACCGAGGACGGTCCAGGGATGCCCGGATCGTCCCGAAGGTCCGCCAGAGGGACTGTGATGCGCACACTTAGATATGGTAGTTGTGGGGAAGTTGTGGATCTTAACTTGATATTAACTTGATCATGTTAAGTTGATCTTCCAGATTTTATCTTGATCCTCCAGATCTTAACTTGATCTGCCATACCTTGCACCGTGCAAGTTGTGGAAGATCCGGGAGTTAGTTTTTTGTTTTAAAAAACTGTTTGCTACAGCGTGTAAGTTACGGTGAAGTTAGTTTCTGAAGTGATTCTAGTTGCGGAAGTTGCGTTCTAGCTATTTTGTATGATTTCTCAATTTGTTGTAGAAAAATCATGCGTTGCGAACATAGATGTTCTACAATTCCCGTTTTAAATAGAAAAATGCGTTATGTCTGCCCCCCATAGCGCTGTATTGATGTTGATTTTTTCTCGAGCGCTTTGCGCTGCCATCGTTTCAGGTGTTTTTGGCACTATCCAGCGCTTTGCGCTGCTCCGCTTTGCGCTGCTCCTATCCCCCCAGCGTTTGCGCTGTTCCCCCACCGGCGCTTTTGGTGCTATCCAGCGCTTTGCTCTGCTCCTCCCCCCCATCCAGCGCTTTGCGCTGCTCCGCCCCCAAGCGCTTGCGCTGTTCCCCAACCGGCGCTTGCGCTGCTCCTCCCCCCATCCAGCGTTTTGCGCTGCTCCTCCCCCCCCTCCGGCGCTTTGCGGTGCCCCTCTCCCCTCCGGCGCTTGCGCTTTTCCCCCACCAGCGCTTGCGCTGCTCCTCCCTCCTCCAGCGCTTGGCGCTGCTTCTCCCCCCATCCAGCGTTTTGCGCCGCTCCTCCCCCCTCCAGCGCTTGCGTTGTTCCCCCACCAGCGCTTGCGGTGCCCCTCCCTCCTCCAGCGCTTTGCGCTGCTCCTCCAGCGTTTGGGTTGTTCCTCCCCCACCCAGCGCTTGCGTTGCTGTCCCGTCCGTGGCCGTTCGAAGGGCGCAGCGGCATGGCCTTCCAGCGCCGCAGCGTTTGCGCTCCAGCGGCATGGCGCCGAAGGGATATCGCCGTCGCTCTCGAGCGAGGCCCCGTCCTCCTCCTCCTCCTCCTCCTCCTCCTCCTCCTCCTCCTCCTCCTCCTCCTCCTCCTCCTCCTCCTCCTCCCTCCTCTCCTCCTCCTCCTCCTCCCCCCCCCTCCTCCTCCTCCCCTCCTCCTCCTCCTCCTCCTCCTCCTCCTCCTCCTCCTCCTCCTCCTCCTCCCCCTCCTCCACCTCCTGCCTCCTCCTCCTGCTCCTCCTCCTTCTCCTCCTCCTCCTCCTCATCATCTCCTGCTCCTCCTCCTCCTCCTCCTCCTCCTCCTCCTCCTTCTCCTCCTCCTCCTCCTCCTCCGCCTCCTCCCCCTCCTCCCCCCCCGCCCCCATCCCCCCATCCCCGCCCCCCTCCTGAGGTTCGTCGGGGGCGAGATGCGTTGCAACAACTGTCCATCGCGGACGCGCGACGCAGGATGGGCTCGCGAAGGTGTTGGGGACGATTCGCGAGGTGGCGGTGGACTTACCCGCCAAAAATTAAGATCACGAGGCATGAGACCAACGGGGCGAACCATGAACGGTTCGAGCGCGTCCGCCACGAGTTGAACATGCCGCCGGTGAGCGGCGGAAGTTAAAACTGGCCCCTGGCGGAGCCCAACGGGCTACTCTCCATGATAGTATCAGAGAGCGGAGCGCTGCAAGGATTGTTCGCGGCCGCGCTGCGGCGATGCGGCGCTCCGAGCCAGGGGCGCCCGTGGACGCCGGTTATCGGGCATGAGGAGTTCAGCCCTGGCGGCGCGTTCAGCGCCGGCGGCGACAGCAAGAGCATTAACTCATCATCCACGTTCCTGGAGCTTGGGGTGCACGACGTTCGCAGTGACAACGCGTCGTTCACACCTGTGGTTGTTCGCAGCAGCGGGTTCAAGCAGGTCCAGGGCGGCCGGGGCGCCGCGTTCGGCAAGCACCTGAAGCTGCGCCTGCTGTCTCCGACTGTCCTTGCCGCGGCAGGCGCCCCGATTGCTGTCTTCGGCGCGGACATTCTCATCGTCGCGCGCGTCGGGTTCGCGATCGCCGATCTCGATGGCCACCGCATGTCGTTGAACAGCGATGGTGCCAACGGCTTCAGGCCGCGCCTGCGACGTCGCAACGTGCTCAAGAAAAACTCAGGCACGGCTGAGTTGGACCCGGCAAGATTCGTTGAAATTTCTTGTGCAGATGCGACGCGGCTCCGATTGCGCACCAGTGAAGATGTGTTTGATGCTGCTGACTTTGTCAGCGCGGCGCGCGCCCGGTGGGCTGCAGGGGCAGTGGCAGAGGGCCGCTTCGAGAAACTGCAAATAACGCGCGGGCTCAAGTTCGCGCCCCACGGCGTCCTGCTGGACCCTGAATTGCGCCGCCACGTGGGCGTAGTGGACAGCGCTGTCATCGATTGGGTC